ATAAATGAAGCTCTTAGAGAATGGATGTTAAGTGACCCACACCGGTCAGCAGACAAGATGCCACATTTTATATCAAGTGTATGGGATTCCTTCAGGGGTAGGCCCCATAACATTACATCAATCCAGCCTTGAGTTTACAAAAGCATGAATCAGGGTGGTAAAATCAGCTGAGTACAGAATAGAGGAGTCTTTTACAAACCAAGTGCAGATGGTAAAAACAGTCTTAGTAAGTATGTCACAGTTCCCCAACCTGGCACTTGCTGTAGTACCAGTCTGGAAGGGAGCCTGGGTCAGGGGGGTATCTTAGCATCCCATCTAATCAAGTGTGCTGCACGAGAGAAGGGAGGGTAGGAAGGTGGGTGCCAGCAGGGGTGGGGGCAGTGTTTTACTCCCTGCCCAGCATCTCTCTACCCACCCCCAGCTCAGCAAGCAGAAGCCAACACTTATCTTCATAGCCAGCACAAGGAGGAAAGCAAAGAAGCACTTGATCAGTTTATTGGCTCCTGGAGGGCATACGGCTCCACCTCCTGTGCCAACCATTTTGTACATGGCTCCATCTCCTGTGGCAGCCATTTTGTGGTGGTGTTAAAATATCACAGGTGCCCACAGGCTCAAAGAGGTTGGGGACTGTAGAAACATGCCAACCTATTCTTCATAGATCTCCCCCATTTTTTAAAGAACATTTCTAAACTTTTGACTTTATTCAATAAAGCTAACCTATGTGATGTCTCTTTCATGGTGGAAAGTGCTGTCAAGTCACAGCTGCCTTATGGGTCACATGGGGTTTTTAAGGCAAAGATATTCAGAGGTGGTTTGCCATTCCATGCCTCTATGTCACAACCCTGGTATTCTTTGATAGTCTGCCACCCAAAAACTAGCCAGGGCCAACCCTGCTTAGCTTCTGATATCTGATGAGATGGGGCTAGCCTTGGCTATCCAGGTCAGGGCAATGTCTCTTTAGATACTGTATATTCCTAAACAGAAGTATTACCAGTACGTGAACAGGAAAGTATCCTTACACATCAGAGAGAAAAGCCAAATGAAGGGTAAAACTTATTCAGGCTAACCTTAATTTAGTGAGAAAGGATGACAACAGGAAAGTTATAGAAGAAGATGAAGGAAATATTATGTTTAGGATCCAAGAAGAAATCTAGTGATAATATGAGAAAGATATTTTCAGAAAATTGCACCCATCCAATTAACAGAGCACATTAACCACAGAACATATGATTTGTGAAATTTCTTCTTCGCACTTAAAAATATTTCTCAACATGGAATTGTTCAATGGCTACATGTGACACTGAAATCATTCCATAAACTAATTACCCCATAGGCCTACAGATCTTTCTGCAGAAGTAAAGCAAATGTTGATCTCAGACGCAACACAAGTATTTCGTAATTTGTAGTTACAGATACAGGAGTCTAGTAGCACTTTAAAGGCTAACAAAATATTACTCCAGAGTAAATTTTCATGGATTAGAGTCCATTTATTCAAATGCAATCCAGCAGCTCCTCACAGGCAGACTATTTATAATGCATGTATTCAAAGATCCAAAGACTACTTACACTTATGAAAGCATTACAAGACAATACAAACACAACACTTCTAACTGGCACAGAATTTAGCATCTCAAAATTTCAGTAGTCTTTTTATTTAAAAAATCAATTTATTTTTAATATTTATGGCTGCAAATATGAACTATGTAGGTAACATCTGGCAAAATATCAGAAACCAGATTATCATGCAAGGTTTCTAGTAATTAAGTGTGGGGCTTCAATGCTCTTTTTGTTCTTCTTTGTAGCAGGCAGAAACAGTGATGCAAATATATTTGACTAAATTGTATAATTTATCTACAGAGTTTGGCTTTTTATTCTACTGAAGATAATTAAACTTGAAAGATCAACCACATAAAGCTATGCAAAGAGACAAGAAGAATCTTGTATAATATGGAGCCTTTTTAGTAACACAATTCTTAACAACTCACAGTATTTTGCCTAATAGCATACACTTCCAGAAAGTAATTAATCACTGTAGCTTTGATTTAATTTCCTGTCTTACCTCTCCCAGCTATGCCGCTATCAGTCAGCCTATCCTTACTGATATATTATCCCCACGGCAACCACAGCAGTTGCTTACAAAAAGCAATACCAGGAAACCATTTAGTGTATTTTTAGCTTCCTTTGATGCAGTTAAGCAACTGGAAAAAGGTGAGTTTGATCATGTGAGACCAGCAGTCCTGAAACCATAACCCACACCCACATCACCAGGCTGCAGTATTGCACTATCCTGTATGAACTGTAGAACTTCAAGAAGAAGAGAAGGTTGGATTTATACCCCGCCCTTCACTACCCAAAGGAGTCTCAGAGCAGATTACAAACTCCTTTTCCTTCCCCTCCCCACAACAGACACCCTGTGAGGTAGGTGGGGCTGAGAGAGCTCTGGCAGAAACTGCTCTTTTTCAAGAACAGCTGTGCCAGAACTATGGCTTGCCCAAGGTCATCCAGCACATGCAAATGGAGGAGTGGTTCTCCCAGATTAGAGTCCGTGCATTTAACCACTACACCAAACTAGCTCCTATCCTGTCAAACAAATCAATCCCAAATACACACAAGGAATCCATCTGGCTTTTTATCAACCATGGCACAATTTAGGCATTATATTTTGCATTCTGACAATATTGTGATGTTCTAAACCAGGGGTGTCAAACATGTGGTCAGCTGATTTAGATCCAGACACAATGATGGTTACCTGGCTACTTCTCAACTTATCTCAGAACAGTCCCATCTGTGGTAGCTGGAAACTGGAGGGAAGGGGGTTGTTACCTGGAGCTAGATCCAGGCTGCACCCTCTTTTCCTTCTAGCCTTGTTGATGGCAGCTGGCAACTGGGAAGAGGGGCTTTCTTCTGGATCTAAGAATGACAGAAGAGTTCCTGGCCCTGGCTTTGATGGAACTGTGCCCTCAGGAGTTGAGCCCTTGCTATTTACATCAAGTCAGAGTAACTGCTGCATTTCTTTTGTACAGAACAAAGCATTACAAATCTGATATGCTAATACTATGTTGAATCTACTCTATTTTATGGCAGCATTGTACTTTACTACAGATCAGCATTAGGATCTCAGTTCAGACAAGAAGTTGCCATATGGCCCTGGGCAGGTCACTATCTCAGCTGTAAAATGGGAATTACAATGACCTCACTGGATTGTTATGAAGGCGAACCTGATGAAGGCGGCAACACATTTCATATTAGAAGTACTATAAATAAACACAGATACACTAATTAGTTGCTCTCAGAGACACTCACATAAAAGTTTGTGCAATACAGAAACACAAACTGACTACTACTATGACAATTATGCTTTTGAAAGTTCCAAAGCATACTAAGGTGGCAGTGTAATATCTCTGAGTTAAATTCACATTTTTCAAAGAAGTAATGATGTGTTTTGTACTCGGACGGCAGCATGCATAATTCTAGACTTAGTTTAAGCCAGAACTTAAGAACATAAGAGACGCCAGTGTTGGATCAGGCCAAAGGCCCATCCAGTCCAACACTCTGTCACACAGTGGCCAAAAATACCAGGTGCCATCAGGAGATCCACCAGTGGAGCAAGGACATTAGAAGCCCTCCCACTGTTGACCCCCCCAAGCACTAAGAAGACAGATCATCACTTGCCCCAGAGCCCCTATCGATATCTTGTGGCTAATAGCCACTGATGGACCTCTGCTCCATATGCTTATCTAATTCCCTTTTGAAGCCGTCCATGTTTGTGGCTGCCACCACTTCCTATGGCAGTGAATTCCATGTGTTAATCACTCTTTGGGTGAAGAAGTGCTTCCTTTTATCCGTTCTAACCCGACCGAACTTGTTTTTAAATGCATACTTCAGGAACAAATGTAGCACTAGCAATTAAGAGAACACATGGAAGCATAAGCAAGTTCAATTTCTTCTTCACATAGCAAGGGATTAGGTGAGAGATCTCCTAAATAAGCTAAACTCTACTCACAGCCCACCTCTACTAAAAACTTAAGTAAAATATTTATGCTGCTTAAATGATCTAAAACAGGATAAATAAATACATTAAAGTATCATTAAAATTGCCACTACTGCTATCTTAAACTCCTCCTTCCCTCCGCCAACAAGGATAGTTCTTCACAGAACTCCAAAAGATATCTAGATTCTGACAGCTAATTAAATAGAGGAAGACCTACAACTACCAGCATGAACGGAATTTACTGCCCTGGAGCTCCAGTGCTTTTTTGGTGGAGAGATTAATTGTTGACCACATAAAAAAAATTAAGATCACACCTTCACATTAAAAAATACTTAACTCAAACATTTATGTGACAAGAGTATTCATTCCATTGCGTCAAGACTTTCAAATCAACTATTGGCAGCTACTCTGAACCAACAGGGCTATAGCACATTGAAGAATTTGGCAATAAGATATCCAAAGGAAAAAAAGATGCCTGTCAATTTTAATCCGAAAGAGACATGTCTCGGGACTGTGCTTGGGACACAACCTTTGATACTATGGGGCAGAGGTTGCTAGATAGAAAAACAGCGGAAAAATGTTCCCGTGCCTTTAAGAGTGGCATAGGTGAGAGAACTGAAGCAACACCTGCCGAAGTTCACCTTCCTACGCAGACAGGGCAGCTCATGACCCTTTCCATCGGCAACATCTAGGCAGAAATCCACAGGATGCCTAGGACAGGCATCTCGACACTCTGACAACCAACACCACATCCTGCTGGACAAAAGGGAGAGAGAAGGCGAACGAAATGTTCTGAAGGGCCAACGGCAGCCAGTCTGGGGTGGAGGCTCCCGGCCGGTTTTTTGAGACTAACCGACGCCAAGCAACTGTGGCTTCCCGCCCAAGCCCGTGTCAGGGAGAGAGAGAACCAGACAGACTCGCTCGCCTCACTCGAGAGCAGACGATTTCCACGCTCGACTAGCCTGAGCCCCGGGGAACTAAGGCTGGCACGACCCCTATTAGTACTCACAGCCCGTCTCCTTCTTGATCTCTTCAATCTCCTCGTCCCGAAGCAAGGTGGACGCCCGGGAACCCATCACGGCCGCCTCACCGCAAACAACCAGGCAAAGGACTAGAGAGACTTCTCTGGGCCTAGAGCCGGTGAACCTCCACTGCGCCCACCAGCCAATCAGCTACGTTGGGCCAGCTACTGAGACTGCAACTGACGGAGCGCGCGACGCCCCCTCTTATCACCTCCCGTCTCCCCTCCCCCAGCTACCGAGTACAACACTAGCCCAACCTATCGAAAGTGCGCCTGCGTAGAACGATTTTCGAACCTGTCTGCTCCATTGCTCCCATTTGGCCTGACGTCACTACAGGCGGGTCTTAAATGTTTCCTAAAAACTACAAATCCCAGCAGCAATTTAGCTCTCCGACTTCTGATAAAGAAAAGGGTTTTCTTCCAGTGGTGGTTGAGGTGATGCAAGGCTTCTTTCTCACGTGTAGCGCAGCTGTTCGGTTCCCCCCTCGGGCTCCCAGCTTATTATAGGAGAGGCGGTAGTGTATTATAAGGCCAGGAAGACGCCGAGAGTGGAGGAGTAATGAGGCACCTTACTGTTCGAAACGGCTTCACGGCCTGCTTGTCGCAAGACGGTTCTAGGAGTGAGGCGCGCCCTTTCCTTTTTAAATTTTCCAGTGGTTAAAAAACAACAACGAATTCTGCAGGCAAACAGTCACAGTTGAGGAAGTGCTTGTAGTCAACGGCCAAGCTCTTTGTTGCTTTTTCTGAAATTACAATGTTCTGTCCCTGCCTTATTTAAACTTTCTTCAAAGAGACTGTGCCCACCATAACGGGAATAAAGGAAACGCTTCCTGTGCTTTGCCGCCACCGCCAGTATATGGTAGGGTGTGCGTAGCTGGGGGAAACTATAGATTGTTGGCTCAGTAGTCTACCCAAACACTAGGATAGCCGTTCACTGGAGGCTTAAAGGCGTTTACAGTACTAGGGAGTAATTTCCATGGACCTAACTTTTAACATGCTTAGGTTTCTACTATAGTTGTGTAGACTGTTGGAATTAAATATCTCATGGCTAATTTTTATAGATTTATGAATCCTTTCTAAAGCTGGTGATGGATCCAAGGGTCTAAAACTTGAATATGGCTCTTATTATCTTTAATTCCTTTAATTTGCTGCTTTTTAATCTTGGGACCGGACTGCATTTATTGTTACAGTGACTTCTTATCAGTAGGAATATGGGCTTCCCTCCCCTTGTTATTGTGAACCTCTAGCACAGTTTCAGTTCTTGTTCTAGAAACAGTGGAGGAAGCAGAACTCCTGAGACTAAAATATGGCTACTATCTGTGCAGTTGTTGCATTTTTGTTGTTGTTCAGTCGCACAGTGGAGTCTGACTCTTCGCGACCCCATGGACCAGATCACGCCAGGCCTTCTGGTCTTCCACCGTCCTCTGAAGTTTGCTCAACTTCATGTTCGTTGCATCTATGACACTGTCTAACCATCTCATCCTTTGCCTTCCCCGTCTTCTTTGACCTTCAATCTTTCCCAGCATCAGGGTCTTCTCCAGTGAGTGCTCCCTTCTCATTTGGTGGCCAAAGTATTTGAGCTTCAGTTTCATTATCTGGCCTTCCAGGGAACAGTCAGGGTTGATTTCTTTGAGGATTGACTGATTTGTTCTTCTTGCAGTCCAAGGGACTCTCAAGAGTCTTCTCCAGCACCATAGTTCAAAAGAATCTATTCTTCGGCGCTCGGCCTTCCTTATAGTCCAGCTCTCGCAGCCATACATGACTACTGGGAATACCATTGCTTTGACCATGCGGACTTTTGTTGGCAGGGTGATGTCTCTACTTTTTATCATGCTGTTTAGGTTCGCCATCGCTTTCCTCCCAAGGAGCAGGCGTCTTTTAATTTCATGGCTGCAGTCACAGTCTGCGGTGATCTGGGATCCCAGGAACGTGAAGTCTGTCACTACTTCCACGACTTCCCCTTCTATTTGCCAAGGAGTGATGGGGCCGGATGCCATGATCTTAGTTTTTTTGATGTTGAGCTTCAAGCCCACTTTTGCGCTCTCCTCTTTTACTCTGAGCAAGAGGCTCTTTAGATCCTTTTCACTTTCAGCCATTAGAGTGGTATCATCTGCATATCTGAGGTTGTTGATCTTTTCCCCAGCAATCTTAATTCCCGCTTGTGATTCATCCAGGCCAGCATTTCGCATGATGTACTCTGCATATATATTAAATAAGCAAGGTGACAGTATACATCCTTGTCGTACTCCTTTTCCTATGCTGAACCAATCAGTTGTTCCGTATCCGGTTCTAACTGTCGCTTCTTGGCCCTTATACAGGTTTCTCAAGAGACATGTGAGGTGGTCTGGTACTCCCATCTCTTTAAGGACCTGCCATAGTTTGTTGTGATCCACACAGTCAAAGGCTTTAGCATAGTCAATGAAGCAGAAGTAGATATTTTTCTGGTACTCTCTTGCTTTCTCCATAATCCAGCGAATGTTGGCAATATGATCTCTCGTTCCTCTACCTCTTCGAAACCCAGCTTGTACTTCTGGTAGTTCTCTATCCACGTACTGTTGAAGCCTAGCTTGTAGGATCTTGAGCATGACCTTGCTAGCGTGTGATATGAGTGCAATTGTGCGATAGTTTGAACATTCCTTGGCATTGCCCTTCTTTGGGATTGGAATGTATACTGATCTTTTCCAATCCTGTGGCCACTGTTGCGTTTTCCAAATTTGCTGGCAAATGGAGTGCAGAACTTTAACAGCATCCTCTTCTAAGACTTTGAATAGCTCAGCTGGGATACCATCACCTCCACTAGCTTTGTTGTTAGTAATGCTTTCTAAGGCCCATTTAACTTCACATTCCAGGATGTCTGGCTCGAGGTCAGTGATTATACCGTCGTGGTTGTCAAGGACATCGAGGTCTTTCTTGTATAGTTCTTCTGTGTATTCTTGCCATCTTTTCCTAATCTCTTCTGCTTCTGTTAGGTCCCTACCGTTTTTGTCCTTTATCATGGCCAGCTTTGCATGGAACGCTCCCTTGATTTCTCCAATTTTCTTGAAGAGATCTCTAGTCCTTCCCATTCTATTGTTTTCTTCTATTACTTTGCACTGTTCATTCAGGAAGGCCTCCTTATCTCTCCTTGCTGTTCTCTGGAAATCTGCGTTCAGTTGGGTAAATCTTTCCTTTTCGCCTTTGCCTTTCGCTTTCCTTCTTTCCTCTGCTATTTGTAAAGCCTCATCAGAAAGCCATTTTGCTTTCTTGCATTTCTTTTTCTTTGGTATGGTGGTGATTGCTGCCTCCTGTACGATGTCACGAACCTCTGTCCATAGTTCTTCAGGCACTCTATCTATCAAATCCAGACCCTTGAATCTATTCTTCACCTCTACTGTATATTCATCAGGGATGCGATCTAGGTCAAACCTGAATGGCCTCGTGGTTTTCCCAATTTTCTTCAGTTTAAGTCTGAATTTTGCAATGAGTAGCTCATGATCTGAACCACAGTCAGCTCCAGGTCTTGTTTTTACTGACTGGATAGAGCTTCTCCATCTTTGACTGCAAATTATATAGTCAATCTGATTTCGGTGTTGCCCATCTGGTGATGTCCATGTGTAGAGTCGTCTCTTAGGTTGTTGGAAAAGGGTGTTCGCTATGACCAGTGTGTTCTCTTGACAAAACTCTGTTAACCTTTGCCCTGCTTCATTTTGCTTTCCAAGGCCAAACTTGTCTGTTATTCCGGTTACCTTTTGACTTCCTACTTTAGCATTCCAGTCCCCTATGATGATGAGGACATCATTTTTTGGTGTTAGTTCTAGGAGGTGTTGTAGGTCTTCATAGAACCGGTCCACTTCAGCCTCTTCTGCATCAGTGGTTGGGGCATAGACTTGGATTACTGTGATGTTGAATGGTTTGCCTTGGAATCGGACCAAAATCATTCTGTCATTTTTGAGATTGTATCCCAGTACTGAGTTTTTCACTCTCTTGTTGACTATAAAGGCCACACCATTTTTTCTACGAGATTCCTGGCCACAGTAGTAGATATAATGGTCTTCTGAGTTAAATTCGCCCATTCCTGTCCACTTTAGTTCACTGATTCCTAAGATATCGATGTTCAGTCTTGCCATCTCATTTTTGACCACGTCAAGCTTACCTTGATTCATAGATCTTACATTCCAGGTTCCTATGCAGCATTGTTCTTTCCTTTCACCATCAGACACATCCACAACTGAGCGTCCTTTCGGCTTTGACCCAGCCGCTTCACTCTTTCTGGAGTTACTTGTACTTGCCCTCTGCTCTTCCCCAGTAGCATATTGGACACCTTCCAACCTGAGGGGCTCATCTTCCGGCGTCATATCTTTTAGCCTTTTGATACGTTCCATGGGTTTTTTTTGGCAAACATACTGGAGTGGGTTGCCATTTTCTTCTCCAGGGGATCACGCTTGTTCTGAGTTCTCTGCTGTGGCCTGTCCATCTTGGGTGGCCCTCCACGGCATGGCCCACAGCCTCATCGAACCATGCAAGCCCCCTCGCCACGACAACGCAGTGATCCATGAGGGGGAGTTGTTGCATTAGTTTTTCTTAAATTCACTTTAAAATGTGTTCTATGGGTGTTGATTGTCTGCATGTGTTTATGGCAGGGAGTCCCCATCCTTTTTGAGACTGTGGGCACTTTTAGAATTCTGACACAGCATGGTGGATGCAGCCTAGGGTTGCCCACCTCCAGGTGGTGGAAACTCGAGCTGCAGTGTTAGAAGAGTCAAACAACATATATATACACTGCAAAAACCTTTTTTATAAGTTAGTGTTCTATATGTTCCATCTTATAAAGTGCATTGTGTATTATTCATAATATTCTAAAACATGCAAAATCAACAATAATAATCAGTTTGTACAATCTAATAGCTACCAGTCAGTTTACATCCTTTTTACACAATCAACCCCAATGGGAGTTTCTAGAATTGTACACCAGCTTCTCCTTGCTTGAAAGTCTTCTAAAGGGGGACGTTTCCTTTTGTGGTTACATTGAAGTTTAATTTGATGTTTGTTGCTGGTCCTACAAAAGGCCCATTAAGCAGCTGACATTCATAGATGGAGCGCTCCTGAAAGAAGATTTCATTTAGAGGCTGTATGTTCTCTCCCAGATCATTCTGTCTAGTAATCTGGATTTTTTTGGCTGTTCCTGTAACATTGAGCACATGCTTGGGCCTGCTATTGTTTTATTGCTTTTTATTTTAGTATTTTGTGTATTAAGAATTCACATCTAAGCCTGTATTTTTAAAGGTGGTGGAAAGTGATGCTGTATTTTTTGTTCCCCAAACGAATTATATAGAATCTAAAGATAAAAATGGACATTGTTTTATTAATTTTGTCAATAACTCTAGTTCCTTCTTGGATTTTAATATTTCTGGAAGCATTTTAACAGAAGACTTCTCTGTTTAGTTTCTCATCTAGTTTGAAAGCAGATACCGTGGACAGTGAGCCATAATGGATCCTAGCAGTGATTACTACTTCCTCAGTGATGCTCTGGGAAGAACAGTGGAAATCACACTGAAATGTGGCATATTCCAAGGAGTACTGCAACATGTGGATTCCAACCGAAGTATCTTGATAAACAGAGGTTCTATTTTTGTTTAAAACTATTTTCATATCTGTCCAATGTTATTTAAAATAGTGAGGTTCTTTATCTTCTAAATCAGAGTAGAGACAGTGTCTATAATATATTTTCAGGGCCCACACTATTCTCTAGGAACTCAAAGTATATTTGATACACGTGTCAGGTGGTTCCCCTAATAATCTCCCTGAGAGCCTAATTTCATGATACATTGTTCCTGGGCTTGTCCCCAAGTCCTGTTAAACAGATGTGCACTGGGAGTTCCCTGCTGAAACTTAGATTCTTTGGCAAAGGGAGGGGGGGTACAATATATATTTGTTCCACAACAGGACAAATAATAAGTCCCACAGGCCATTTCAAGTTGGGGAAATGATGTGGGGGGAATGTTTAAGACCCCTATCCCTGCAAGCCATTGTTCCAGTCTGAATTGGGCCCCACACAACTAAGAATCCAAGTTTATATTTAAGAGTATGGGATTCTGGATGAGCAGGAGAGAAGTTGAATGCCCCTCTGTTTCTTTTGAAATTCAGGTGCCATGAGTAATGGCCTAAGCTTGTGAGACCAGGCAATATAAGCATTGGAAATGGCTAGAGAAATGGCAATATTTAGCCAGCTGTGAAAAGTACTGGGTTCGATACATCAGGATGCGGACCATGACATCGGAGAAGACACGTTTATTAGTACTTAACACATGGAACAAAAACTAACGGCCGGGTGGCCAACTTTATACAATTGGGGAGGGACACCCCTAGGTTCTATTGGCGGGTTTGAACCCCCTGCCAATGTCCCTATTGGCTCCTTACTTGCAGTTCAGGAGCCTAGTCCCTATTGTTTTAGGGATTGATGCTCTAGCTGCCTCTGGCTGGCGCCTGGCAGTGGTCTGAGGACATAACAAGCTGTACGTAGCAAGGACATCACAGAAACTTGTCACAGGTCTCTTGAGCTAGGCTCTTAAGCCTTTTTTCTGCTTCTGCCTCTCTTCTTCCTTTACAGAGGCAGCCCTCTGTTGTAGACCATATTATTGGTGTTGCATGAGTGGAAGTGCCTAATGATTAAGGAATGAGCTTCACAATGGAAATGAGCCTGCACAAGCAGAAACAAGGCTTAGGAGCCAAGACTTGGAAATATTTGCTGCTATGCATTCCTGATCTTACAGAGTGTAATGAATATAGTTTTCTAGCATTTAACATGTAGCTGGTCCTGAAAAATGTTATGTATTTACATGAGCAAAATTCTATTAATGCAAATAATTCCTTCTTCCATGCAGTTGGTACTAGCAGAATGCTGTTATTAATATCAATCTCTCCCTGCCCTTTACATGTGCAAAGCGTGTTCTTGGCATCCTAAGGCCAATGACACTGATTAGGTTCTGAATCCCTTATTGTTATATATTGAGCCTGTCTGTATTGAGCCTGAACTGTCCTTGCAAAAGAATTTAGCTTGGGATGCAGAACAATAGATTGCTAGGATCTTAGAATGGGCCAGTAGGGAGACAGGGATCCTAGAGTAAACCAACTGGGAAACAATAGAGTGTAAATAGCGTATTGTTGTGAGTGGGGTGTGTTTTGGGTGTGACCCTTTTCAGGCATAAATAGCCAGTCTTCTTTCTCTTGCTGAATCACTAATAACCTATGAGCTGATCACTTCTATGCGTCTGAACCCAGTATATTTCACTCATCTAATACTGAACATTCCTTATAATAATGACAGTTAATTCTTTATTGAAAATTCCTGAGCAGCTGTCTTTGAGCCAGATTTTCTTGAGTTATTCCTGCCAACTTATTTTACTGAAAGCACATTGCAGTGTGATTAGACGAGATTTGTCTTTTTAGATGAAATATAGATCTAATCTTTACTCAAGTCATCTTGTGCAAGAGTGAATTTCAACACCACTGTCATATGTAAGAAGCTTAAATTATCTACATATTTTACTCAGCTGTAAGAGGGGCTGGCTGCTCTTCCGCACTTCCTGGGTTGCTCCATAGCTGGCATCTACTGACAAATTCCAAAGAAATAACTTGAACCATTGACATAGAGCCATCTGCTCAGTCATGCATGCAGAAGGTTCTTGCAGTACTTTGAGTACCAATTAACAGCTTAACATTCTGTTGTTTTCTGTGCAGGTTTAGTAATGCTGAAAAGTCCAAGTACTAAAAGCACTTTGATTCTTAATGTAGCAGCCTGTTTCTTGGCATTATGAAGCTGGGTTCTTGGATTTGTACAAAATTAATATGAGTGATGGCATTGGAACTATATATACAAACACTCAGTCTCCTTTGAATTTTGATTGCAGCTGTTGATGCTGTGAACATACACATGGGGTGTTAGTAAGGCTACCAGTCTCCAAGTGGGACCTGGGGATCCCCAGAATTACAGCTCATCACCAGAGATCAGTTATCCTGGAGAAAATGGATGCGTTGGAGAGTGGACTCTATGGCATTGTACCCCACTGAGGTCCTTGTCCTCCCCTGGCTCCATCCCCAAATCTCCAGGAGTTTCCCAACTTGGCAACCCTGCTCCCCCCATCACCACTGGTGACCAGAGGGGACTTGGCAACCTTGGGTGTTAGTTCCCCACTGATTTCATATGCCAGTAATAAAGACAAGCATGCTTAATAACTGGAGTCTAGCCGCACTTGTATTTTTTATGTAAGTTTCTGGTTCAATCCACTGCCACTTACACTGCATAGTTTAAATCTCCCCTTTATATATATTTGAGTTTTCGTGTGAACTCTTTCGTGTGAACTCTTCCCCAGGCTTTGGGTTCCTGATCTGTTGCTCATGAGGGGGGCCAATCCCCTGGCCGCGTCGCCTCCCTCTGTCGCCTCCATCCCGCCCACAGACCTGCTGACCACTGACTCGCCCTCAGTCTCCGGGGAGCCGCCGGCCGGGATGGACGCTCCAGCGGGTGGACGCCTCTGAGTCCCACCACCTCAGTGCCCGGCCTCCGCCCCCACGGTGCCTGCTGGCCCTTGGGGCACTCCAGGCCATTCATGGAGCTGGGAAACACAGTGGCTAGGCGGCAGCCAGCACAGTCCCCAGGACAAGGAAAATACACAGCCAGGATGCTGTAAAGTTTGCCTCCATACTAGAAAGGAGATGAATGGGATCTAAGGATGTGATTCTCACAATTTAGGGCACATCAATTTCCAGTTCTGACATATTTATTACCTATGTTGTTTCCCCCCAGTTGAACCCAATCAGTTGATAACTAGAAACCGAGCTTGTGATTCTTTTGATAAATTTATTTTTAAAATCTTCACTATTTTGCACTATATATACAACTATATATACAACTATGATATGTAATGTTTGTACAGCTCTTCTAAGCTTTTAAAAGTGCAATCCGTCACAGCATCATATCCCAGTCATATCCTCCCTTTCCCAGACTCCACCCCCAGATCTCCAGAAATTTTCCAAGTTGGAGTTGGCAGCCCTAGGAGAGCTTTCCAAGAGTCTAGGCAACTGGTAATCCAAACAGAAACCTCAGATAATAATTAGAATCATAGAGTTGGAAGGAACCTTCAGGGTCATCTAGTCCAACCAGTTGAGTCATACAGAGTTTAATGAACGGTGAGATTAATATTTACAGTGACAATTCCACTTCTCCCAGCAACATCTACTTTCTGTCATTTGTTTTAGGAAAGTTAAAAGGCCCACGCCTCCAAAGCTCTAAGAAAATAAGAGAAGCCAATGTTGGATCAGACCAATGGCCCATCTAGTCCAGCACTCTGTCACACAGTGGCCAAAAATACCTGGTGCCATCAGGAGGTCCAGCAGTGGGGCCAGGACACTAGAAGCCCTCCCACTGTTGCCCCCCCCAGCACCAAGAATACAGTTCATCACTTGCCCCAGAGTCCCTATCTATACCTTGTGGCTAACATCTACTTTCTGTCATTTGTTTTAGGAAAGTTAAAAGGCCCACGCCCCCAAAGCTCTAAGAAAATAAGAGAAGCCAATGTTGGATCAGACCAATGGCCCATCTAGTCCAGCACTCTGTCACACAGTGGTCAAAAATACCTGGTGCCATCAGGAGGTCCAGCAGTGGGGCCAGGACACTAGAAGCCCTCCCACTGTTGCCCCCCCCCAGCACCAAGAATACAGTTAATCACTTGCCCCAGAGTCCCTATCTATACCTTGTGGCTAATAGCCACCAATGGACCTTTGCTCCATATGCTTATCTAATTCCCTCTTGAAGCCGTCCATACTTGTAGCTGCCACCACCTCCTGTGGCACTGAATTCCATGTGTTAATCACTCTTTTGGTGAAGAAGTACTTCCTTTTATCTGTTTTAACCCGACTGCTCAGCAATTTCATTGGGTGCCCACAAGTTCTTGTATTGTGAAAAAGGGAGAAAAGTACTTCTTTCTCTACCTGCTCTATCCCATGAATAATCTTATAAACCTCGATCATGTCACCCCTCAGTCGTAGTTTCTCCAAGCTAAAGAGCCCCAAGCATTTTAACCTTTCTTCATAGGGAAAGTGTTCCAACCCTTTTATCATTCTAGTTGCCCTTTTCTGCCCTTTCCCCAATGATTCTGTTTTACAGATTAGCTGAAAATCCTTTTCCAGGAGGCTTTTCCATAAGTACAAGGTAGCCACTGAGAAGGCCCTGGATAGTTGCCAAACGAGGCAGAGACAACAGATCCTACTGGGAGGAGCAAAGCAAAATGTTAAGGAACTTAAGGGTGTGCGTGTGAATAAACTGGATTGCTGTACCTTACATATTCACTATATGAAAATATATCTGTATATCAGTATGAATAAGTTGTGTGAATGAGCATACTGTACAAATGAAGAAAATGGTCAAAAGTTTGGAAATAACTTCCATGTGCATTTTATAGTTCCTTTTGTTTGAATCAAATCTTTTTATTTGTATTTGGTTTAGTCTGTGATTGATAATGCTCTTATTTCCAGTTAAGAACTTGGAAAATGGCAGATGTATTCCAGGAGTGAAGATGTTTTTTGGTCATGAAATTGTGAATGGTGAGACTATATTTTGATAATACATAGAAATTATTTGTTTCTTTTGTATATTTAACATAATTTGGGATTTCCTAGCCCATTTCTAATTTCCTGCTCACAATGCTCTGTTTTCATTGTGTCTACTAGAAAGTTACACATTATTCGCTTGACATCAGGTACAGAATACCAAGATTTATAGGTTCCCAGTTTATTTTTTGAAATGCATTAAATAAAAACAATAGGACCAATTCTGACAAAGTTATAAGAGCATTAGCCTCTTCAGCTAAAAGTTAATGAAGGCTAGAAATCAAAACTAATTGCAAAATAAGTAATTATCCTGTATTAGAACAATCTGTGCAATTTTAATAATATGTGTAATACCATTGATTTGACTACAGTACACAATAAGACTATACACACTTAGGCTATTGACTCATTTAGAATATACAGTCATGGAAATCTCAACTCCACAAATGACCTATTTTATTCATAAAAACATTATGCAAGGCAGTGATAAATATCTGTTGGTCTATAAAAGTACAGCATTTTACAAAGACTCCTGTTCAGTAATACTCCAAAAGGGAGGGAATATAGTTATTTTCAGGGGTCATTTACAGAGCTCCAGCAGTAAAGAGCCCAGGGGGCGGGCACATGCAACAAGCCCCACCCCCTGCTCCCAGCAGCCCTCAGTCAGAGCAAGAAGCAGCCAGGTAAGTTGCAGAGCTCCCCCCGCCCCCCTGGTCCAAAACAGTCCAGTGGCACCTTTAAGACCAGGTTTTATTCAGGTACAAGCTCTCCCTCCTCTGTGAGGACAGATCTGCAGGTCCCCTCCCTCAAATAGCTAGCAACCCAAAACAGTCCAGTGGAGCCTGAGCGGTGGGTGCTGCCTTCTGACACACTTCCGGTGTGAGGGGTGTGACATATGTAAATAAGTTATGCTAATGATTATGCTAATGAGCTCCTGCACCTCTTTTTCTACAAAATGACTCCTGGTTTTTGTTGTTAATATAAAAAGCGTGTGTTGTGGCACCTTAGAGACCAACTAATTTATTGTGGCTTTCAAAAGCGTGTGCCACAATGAATGTCTTTGAGGTGTCATGAGACACAGCATCCCTTTGGAATTCATCTGAGTTTTTGTGCAACTATAAAGCATAGCTATGCCAACCCATGATCTTTAAAAGTATCAGTGGAAGTGGTTACTTGAGAATTCAGGTGTTACATGTGCAAACCTCATTGTTTTTCAAGTAAGCATAATTATAATGAGCTAGTGTGACATGGTGGCTGAGAGACTGAGGTGTGAACTAGAAAATTTCTGGCTCAGATCTTCCTTCTACCATAGATTTTCATAAGGAGCCTTAGGTAAGCCACTCTCTAGCATTATCTGTTCTCTCAAACAGGTATAATAGTGGTGACAGTTTACAGGGTGTTTTTAGGATTATTTTATTTATTTATTTATTATTCGCATTTATATCCAATAGAAAGGGACAAGTTGATAATTTCTCCCAGAGGGACCCGAATGCTCTCCCCGCAGGCTTTCACCAACCAGGAAGGGGATGGGTCGAGCACAGGAGGGCCTGTTAAAACAATGAATGCAAAGCACTCTAAATGCTCTATAAAAAGTGCTATGTACATAAAAAAAAGATTTGTCATTGGAGTGGAGAATAGGTATTTGGGGGGGAAATTGAACCTATATATCACAAGTTCCCATTTTCTTTCTCCACTTCCACCTTGAAATTTTCACTATACCCACATTCAATCTTTAACAGCAGTATGGGCTTTACAATACTTGGTGCATTTGAACATCGTTCCTGTGATACAGGCCATAATCATTCTTATTCTTATAAGCAGGCAGCTGAACGCAATGAAAACAGGTACTCAAATCTCCCCATTGGGTTCCCAGATGAATAAAGATTTTTTTTTTGGCCCCCCGAAGGGGTTTTTTTAATTGCATTTTTAATAGACTACAAACTACAACGAAAAATTGGGAAGGGGTAACTACATCTAGGGAGAAAGGAAAGAAAACCAAAACTAACTAAAACCCCAAGTACAGGAGATCATAACAACAGCTTATTTAAATGTTAGTCTTAAATTGCTAGCATTACTTTGAACATAGCTATGCTAAGTTTTTTATTGTTTTATCCAATGTTTTAACCATTTATAAGAGCCCCCAGAGCATCCCACAATAGAACTAAAGTTTAAAGGCACAATTCAGAGTCCTTCAGCCTTCATTTTGTCTTATCTTTTCTAATCCTCATATTATATGTACGCTTGGGGGCAACCGCCCCCTTATCAGAAAGAGAGTCCTCGTCGGAAGACACAGAGTCCAATTCGCCACTAGATTTGCTGTCATCTTCTTCCTTCCCGCCCTCAGCTGGCTCTCCCAGCTGCACTTTCAGGAACTCACGTGCTTTGGAAACAGAGTCAATCTTTTCTTTTTTATCTTGTAGTTTAAAAATGACGCCCTCTGGCATTAACCATCTGTAAACAATGCTGTTTGTTTGAAGAAAAAGGATTAAATCTTTATATTTCTTTCTCTTTTGCCTTATTTCAAATGGAATATCTTTTAGAATCCTGATGGTGTTGTCTCCGATTTTCAAGGGTGTTCCTGTTGTTGCTGTCAGGATAGAATCCTTCACATGTCGCTTTGAAAATCTAGCCACTATTTCCCCAGGCAGATTATTCTTTTTGATGTACATGGAATAGGACCTATAGACCACATCCATTTCGCTTGCAAGATACTCCGCTTTCAAATCTGTAACTGGGGCTAATGCTTCACTCAGGAGTTGCTTTAGATTCTCACCTTTCAATTCTGGGACCCCTTGAAACTGTAGGACCAAATTTGCTTTCTCCGTTTGCAGCTGTAAAAGTTGTGATTCTTCTGAGGCTTGTTTCTTTTCCAGCTTTTGCACCTTTTTCTTGACTTTTTTGGCGTTGGCGTCCATTTTCTTCACCTTCTCCGCCGTTTGCTCCGTTATTTTTAAAGTCTCAGTCAATTGGAGCTGCTGAGTTGCCAGATTCTGGTTTAGAGTCATCAACTTTTGTTCAATGTTAGTCATCTGGTCCAGCAGAGGGCGCAAGGACTCTGCCAACATTTTGGAAAGCTCAGTGGTCTCTTCCGTCGAGGGCTCAAAATCTCGGCTGGTTACACTTTTACTGGTTTGTCTTTCTCTGCCCTCTTTCCCGTCATCTTTATGGATTGTTTATTTTTATAAAAACTTGCTAAAGTCTCTGAAATATGCCCATATGCTTATCCACGCTCTGGTAAGTCTCTCAAAACAGATTTCACCGCTTTTTCTTCCGCTCCCGCATTAGTATTTCGTTGTTTAGTTCATGCGTATAGGAGGAGCCCCTCCCCCGCTCGCTTTTTTCGCTGTTCCCAGGGGGTAGTTTTCTTTTTAAATTCTCGTTTCACTTTAAGCCGATTCACAGTTCATTGTTGGTCATACGACCTCGCTCGGCATACGTTCAAAACGCTCAATCTCCAACGCTTGTCCCGGTCAGCGGCTCTAGATCCATACGGACACTCAGCGGCAGGCCTGTCGGGGCGGAGGAGCGCCTCAATTCCCCAGCATCGCGCTGGCGAAGAGGCCACCTCTCAAAAGCCCCATGGCTAGGAGCCTTTTACCAAGGCTCCGGGGGGGTAGCGACCCATCCCCCCCCTCCTTTCCACTGGTGCACAGATCACATCCCCGGGAGGTCCGGGAGATGCGTCCGCCAGCGTGTCGCCATAAACCAGAAGTCAACCCCAGATGATTAAAAATTTGAACACCAGTATGCCATTTTCTGTTTATCCTAGGGAAAGCAATTTGCATCATACTCCTATCCACGTTAACTTGGAAGTCCCATTAAATTAAATGGTACTCGCATATGACTGCAACCCAAGTATTACTGATGGACATAATTAGAATTATTTTGTCTTCATAACTGTCTTCATAATTATTTTGTTTTCATAATTGGAATTCTTTTGTTTCCACATTTGCAGATTTATCACTACTCCAATAAGGGTGGAACAGGTTTGGTGGTGGTGGAAAGTGCCATCAAGTCACAGCTTGACTTATGGCGATGCTGTAGAGTTTTCAAGACAAGAGACATGGAGAGGTGGTTTGCCATTCCCTCCCTCTGTGTTACAACTCTGGTATTCCTTGGAGGTCTCCCATCCAAATACTAGCCAGGGTTGACCCTGCTTAGCTTCCGAGATCTGACAAGATTGAGCTGCTATCCAGGTCAGGGCAGGTTTGGGGTAGGGAAACTGAAATTTAGGATTCTTAAAAATGGGACTTGTGAGGACTTTCAAGGGTCATCCCATTCCCCCCTTATATCCTCTCCTCCATGCTAGTTCTTTTTGTCCCCGAACAGTGCTGTAGCCTTTTCACTGTTCCTGCTTCCTCTTTTCCCTTCTATCCACCCACCAACTAAACTACATCTTTCTGTCCCTCTCCCTGGAAAAGTGGAAGGCAGCAGGAAAAGAAGAAGATCCAACTTGAGATGGATTGACTCAGTCAAGGAAGCCACAGCTCTCTCAGTTTGCAAGACATGAGTAAGGCTGTTAACGATAGGATATTTTGAAGGACATTAATTCATTGGGTCTCCACACAAAATGTTCTCAGTGCATTTTCATCTGACTCTGGGTAGTCCTGTTTGGGTTTGTTTGTTTGCTTGCTTACTGCTGTAGTGACTATATTTGTCATTTGCCACCTGGGATTTTAGTTCAGCTTTTAAGTATCTGGACATAAATGTAGTTTGTGGTTAAAGGCTAAATCTGTAATAGAATCTGGTGATTTATATTTCAGTGCAGTTGCTTGATGAATCAAATAAATGTGGTGCAGAAGGAATGGAAACTCCTACCAGGTATACATTAAGACTTTTAAGTTGTCCATTTCCAGGAGTGACAAAAGAACTTAATTGTTCATAGGAACCATTCTCTTTGTATTGTTGCAGCCAATCTAAACAAAATTTTTATTTATTTTATTTTATTGGGCTTGTATCCCAGCCTCCCCGCAAGCAGGCTCCGGGAGGGTTCCATCAATGTTCATAAAAAGGTAAAGGTAAAGGTTCCCTTGCTCGAAAGCCAGTCGAATCCGACTCTAGGGTTGCGGTGCTCATCTCTGTTTCAAAGCCGAAGAGCCAGCGCTGTCCGAAGACGTTTCCGTGGTCATGTGGCCGGCATGACTAAACACCAAGGTGCACGGAACGCTGTTACCTTCCCACCGAAGTGGTCCCTATTTATCTACTTGCAATTTCTTGCTTTCGAACTGCTAGGTTGGCAGGAGCTGGAACTAGAGACAGGAGCTCACCCCGTCTTGCGGCACCCGGGTCTTGAACTGCTGAACTACTGACCATCCACAGCCTGCAGTTCAGCGTCTTAACCACTTGAGCCACCGCAGCGCTGTCCGAAGACTAAACACCAAGGCGCACGGAACGCTGTTACCTTCCCACCGAAGTGGTACCTATTTATCCACTTGCAATTTCTTGCTTTCGAACTGCTAGGTTGGTAGGAACTGGAACTAGAGACGGGAGCTCACTCCGTCATGCGGCACCCGGGTCTTGAACTGCTGAACTACTGACCATCCACAGCCTGCAGTTCAGCGTCTTAACCACTTGAGCCACCGCAGCTCCTCAATGTTCATACAATATAACAATAACAATTTAAACCATTTTAAAACAATAAAATTAATACAATACAATAATCATAAGATACCATGCAGATCTAATCAATAACACAGTAGCAAGATGGAAACTATATAGTGAATCCTATGTGGCTGTTCAAAATCCAAGACACTGATGACAGGCCAATTAAAGGAGGGGACACCTGCTGCCTCAACAAAAAGCCCAGCAGAAGAGCTCCATCTTACAGGCCCTGTGGAATTGTAATAAACCCTACAGGGCCCTGATCTTATATGGGAGCCCTGGCCTTAGTTGAGGCAAGTCGGATGTCCCTGGACCTGGGGACTACCAAAAGATGTTGATTTGTGGATTTGTAGGGCTTTAAAGGTGAGTACCAGCACCTTGAAATGGATTCGGAATTCAATAGGCAGCCAGTGCAGTTCATACAGCACTGAGTGGATGTGAGCCTGCACAGGCGTCACCGTCAACACCCATGCTGCCATGTTCTGCACTAGCTGCAACTTCTGGAGCAGAGTCAAGGGCAGCCCCACATTGAGAGAGTTACAGTAATCAGTCTGGAAATGACCATTGCATGGGTTAGTGTAGCCAGGTCTCGGGGGGGAGGGGGGAGATATGGGGCCAACTGCCGGATCTGCCTCAGATGGAAAAAGGCAGACCTGGCAGTGGTGGTGACCTGGGCCCCCATGGAAAGGCATTCAGAAGCACCCTCAGGCTCTTCACCTTTGATGCTGGCACCAATGGAGCCCCATCGAAGGCTGGGAGCCTGCATTCAGTATTATGTATTATGTACAGCCCAGTGGAGTGTAAAAGAGTTGGTATGCCCACTACTTACAAGATGGTCTATATGATATGTTCTTTTGTTTACTTTTTTCATTACCTCCTTCAGTGCAGGTTAACAAAAGATAATTATATCCCTTACAGGATGTTATAATATAGCATGAGATGAAGCATTTCAACAGCTGAAACAACTGTAGCAAAGAACTCACTGACATACTAAGGCCCCCGGTCACACGGGCCGGAAAATGCGGGGGGGGGGAAGCGTGGCTGTTTGCCCTGGAGCAAAATAACGCGCGGCTGCCCGATCACACGTCCCGCCGAGGTCCCATGGTTAGGGCGTGAGGTGCCGATCACACGGCTATCCTGCAGTGTGGCAAAGAAGCGGCGCAGCGCAATCACACCAGCAATTGCTAGGCGCCGTTTCCGTGGTAAACGGGAATATTTTTTTTCTCACCAAAAGGTGAGCGTGCGCATGATCGTTTGTGCACATCCTGTGCAGACTTTAAAAAAACCTAACCGGTTTGCAACGGGACTAGGACGGGACGCGATCAGACACTTGCCCTTGCCCCGCGTTTTCCGGAAACTAGTACATCGTAAGTACTAGTTTTTTACTCCGTATCTTCGGCACGAAGCCACGGGTTAGCCACGGGTGCACTACACTTCCCAGACGTTGTGGTGTGATCTCGCCCGGAAAATCCGCCTCTCATCTGTCTCTTTAGCGTGGCAAATGCTCCATGTGAACGTATTATTTAATCAATTTGCAGTGTTTTATACAACTTTCTAATTAAGTGGTCTTTAATGAAGACCACTTAATATTCCCCACTATTAATAAAAGTATGGATCTCGGTCTCTGATTTTTTATTTAAATCATCAAATGATAAATAGCAATCACTTTTTTGGGTATAATTATTTATGTAAGAGGAACCTTCTGAAGTTATTTTGTTAGGTTATAAAATTTCCTATATCATATTTATTTATTTAATTCACTTACAGAATTAGAAAACCATGCAAACAAAAACTGTCTAAGGCATGACATACCATAATTCAGAAAGTGGATTACAAAGGTAGAAGTAGGATGATACATTCAGTACACAGCAATTCAGTTACCTTATAGAAGCATCCTCCTGAGCTGTTTCATTATGCTACAGTTGTAATCCCTTTATTAAGAGACTCCCTTCTCCATATTTCTGTTTTGCACATTCTTTAAATTGAAAGACATTTGGGGGCCTTCTTGATATCTAAGTGGCTCAGCACCTCTATAGCAACAGTAGGCAGTTTGGATAAAGATACGGGCTGGGTGTTGTCAGAATATTGATGACAACCTACTCCAAAACTACAAATGGAATTTACATAAAGATTAAACAGCATGGGATTAGGGAATAAGACTGAGCCTTGGGGAAATCCCACAGAATAAGACCCATATTGATGACAATTAGTCTCCATATCATACCAAGTATTTATGGCAGGTACAGGTTTGCTTTTCCAGAGTTTAGCAATTTATAGTTTTTCAGCTAAACTTCTACCTCGTGCAGTATAGCGAGAAACCACTGCATGTTGTTTTTGCACTCACAATTTAAAATACCTTTATTTCTGGGTGCCGCCACAGCTAATCCCTTTCACAATGGATGATTAGAACTGTGTTGTCAAAAACTAAGAATAATCTTTTGTTATGTAACTTTGCCCGAAATTCAACTGAATGCAGGCTCAAGTTCCCATTCAGATGTAAGCAAATGTTGTTTATGGCAGCTGGTACAAGCTATTTATAATTAGTTTGAAATCCTACCCCTAAAGCAGTTTACCAGCTTTATGCTATTTCTCTACTGAACACTTACTCATTTCACCCCAGTTTCTTCACAAGCCAGAATAACTCCTCCTAACCCAAAGAACTCCTGTAATCTTTGTACTCTAGTACTTTACTTTCATACAGCCCATTTTACCTTCCCTCATACCATCAAACCCATTCCCTGAATTTCACATAACCCTGGCTACTACTCATGTACTTGTAACTATACTGCTTCTTCCCTTAGATTGCTGCTAGATTTCCTTCACTGCCTTCCTTCTCCTTCTCCAGCCTTGTACTCCTTGATTTCTTCCATGACCCCAACCTCTGAGTGAGGCTGCTGCCACATGGAGGTTTTCCACTGTTTCCCCCACAAACACATACTGCATTGGTGGGTTTGGGGGCTGTCCACACATTATCATGCTGTGCCCCCTTTTGGGTTTCCCCAAAAGATGCTTTAATGCACTTTCTCCTGAAAGATTGTACCCAAAGCATAGGGTTGCCAGGTACCCCCTGGCAGCCAGCAGAGGATCTGGGGATGGAGCCTGGGGAGGACAGGGACTTCATTGGGGTACAATGCCATAGAGTCCACCCTCCAAAGCAGCCATTTTATCCAGGGAAACTGATCTCTGCAGTCTGGAGATGAACCATAATTCCAGGGGATCCCCAGGTCCCACCTGGAGACTGGCATCCCTAACTGTTTGGGGAAAGTTCCAGGTGGTCAGCTGTGTTGGTCTGAAGCAGTATAACAAATTTAGAGTCCAGTGGCACCTTTAAGACCAACAAAGGTTTATTCAAGGTATACAAGCTTTAGTGTGCATGCACACTTTGTCAAATACATTGGTAAGGAAGCTAGATTTCAAACTTATATCAAACTTATATTCAGCCTGTATCTATAAGTTTGAAATCTGGCTTCCTTTCCAATGTATTTGACAAAGTGTGCATGCACACTAAAGCTTGTATACCTTGAATAAACCTTTGCTCTAAATTTGTTCGGGGAAGTATAAATTGGAAGGTATAGATTTCTCCACCTCCATTTCCCAACTAGACTTTAACTAGATGCAGGGGGGGAAATGAATTTCATTATAGTTGCTGCCATAAAGGAGCAGGGATAAGGAAGGGCCCTATTTGTCTAGTGAATCAGCTGGCTCTGATCTCAGATGTCTGTAACTCCATGCTAGTCAATATACTGTGGTTAACAAGATTGCTGTTTATAAACAGTTTTTCTCTGTTGAATAATATAGTTTTCCCTTTTTGCCAGATGAATTGCGTGACACCACGCAAGTCAGTAAGAGGACACTTTACTTATTTTGTGTGTTTTCCCCACATAGGACGAACATGGCAACTCCCTATATCAAGCAAGATTCCTTAAATCTAGGCTTTCAGATCAGTTGCCCTGCCACTGTGTCTTAGGTGCTTCTTTCTTCTTTGATTTGATTGCCTTCCTCTTTGAATTCTTCCTGTGTCATAATCTGTACTGCTGAGCTGACTTGGCCATTGGTTTTCTTTTCACCTAAGGTCTCTTTCATTTTTACTTTTTCGACTTCTGAATAATTATTGAGTAAATAAAGCTTTCAAGAACTTCCAGGGTCTGCTGCCAGGAGAGATGTCAATGTTTGACTAAAAATTCATTACTGAATGGAGAACAGAATACCACATAGTATTGTGCTAGCATTAGCTAAAATGTAACCAGTTTTCTGTCTGTTACTTTATAGTTATTGATTCACAGTGCCAATAATTATGTCTTGTACAGCAGGGAAAATCCAGTGACTAGAATGGCTGCCAAGAACAGAGAAGAATCACTGAAGCAGAACAATCAGGTTTCTAATGCCGCTTCCCAAAAGACAAAGCATCTCAACCTGTGTCACTTCAAATCTACCTGTTCAGGTAACCATCAGAAATTTAGTATAGAAATCCATTTCTATACTGTCATCTTAAGGCTCATAATATAGGAATGAAATTTTCCTTGGTTTTGATTTTTTGATTCTTAAAACATCTTTTTTACATCTAGCAGATAGTCCATTAATGCTTCCTTTATGTGCCTACAAAAGGACATATTGTATTTTCTAGAACAGGAGTATCAAACATACAGCCCTCAGGCTGGAAGCAGCCCATCCAGACCTCTTATCTAGCCGCAAGCAACTGGTCATTACCTTTATTGCCATATGACAGAGGCTATGCATTATGACCTTGTAGATTGTCCCAGTTCTAATGAGTAATGGGTGGTAGAAGTAGGAGGGTAGGAATCAGGGAGATACTTTAAGGAAATACTGTAAGAGTGTTAATGTTTTAAGCATGTTTGTATTTTGAGTAAAAAATAATATTGTCAATTAGGTTTGCCTGTGTCTTTTATAAAGTTTATCTCCCATAACTGGCATTACATTTTGTGGCACACATGGCCTGGCCCAACAAAGTGACATCTAAGTCAGATCCGGCCGTCATAACAAATGAGCTCAACACCTCTATTCTAGAATGTCACAGTGCCATAACATGCACCTAAACATTGCCATGAAGAACACTTCATTTAGAATGGTTTTGACAAAACCTTATCTAGTGTACATAAATCTTTTTTAGATCAAGAAATTACAGTAAAAGAGATTCAAGAGGCAATTAAGCACCTAAAACCAAATACTGCCCCAGGAAGGGATGGTTTTACCCCAGAATTTTTTAAAACTTTTGTTAAAAATCTAACAGGCCCTTTACACAAAATTTGTAATATGGTTTTAAGCACGGGAGAAAAGCCTCCCTCTTGGGGAGAAGCTATAATAACTAATATTCCTAAAGAGGATAAAGATTTGACTAGACCTGAGTCTTATAGACCAATAGCACTCTTAAACTGTGATTCTAAAATCTTATCCACGATTTTAGCAAACCGGCTACAAAAAGTCATTTCAGACTATATAAACCCCGATCAAACGGGGTTTATTCCTAACAGATCTATGATGGACAATATACATAGAACATTAAATATCATTTCTCATTGCACAACTCATAAAAAAGAAGCTATCTTATTCACAGTAGACCTAGAAAAAGCTTTTGATAGCGTCAGTATAGACTACTTGAAACACCTACTAATGCACATGGGTTTTGGAACTCACTTTTTGAATGCAATTAGCTCTATTTACAACAATCCTACAGCTAAAATCCGTGTAGATAGTAACCTAAGCAGAACTTTTAAAATGAGTAGAGGCACAAGACAGGGTTGCCCCTTGTCGCCTCTACTGTTCGCCATAGCTATTGAACCCTTGGCAGAAACAATAAGTCGATGCCCTGAGGTTACTGGAATAAATATTGGAAGCCAAGAACACCTCATTAGTCTATATGCTGATGATCTTTTAATTTTTTTATCTAATCCAACTTCATCTCTGAAGGCACTACAAAAAATATTTCTTGATATGCAAATAATAACAGGCCTGAAAATAAACATTAATAAATCAAAATTAATCCCCTTATACATTGCTGATAACCTACAATCCCAATTACAATCTATTTTTCCATTTAAATGGACAAAGAAATGCTGGAGATGCCTAGGAGTTATTATCCCGAACGATTTAAAAGATTTATTAAAGTATAATTTTTTAGAAGTGGTTAAAAACACACATAAAAACTTTGAACACTGGAAAACACAAAATTTTACCTGGGCTGACAAACTCAGCATAATTAAAAGCTTTGTCCTACCAAAATTTTTATTCTTGTTTAGGGCATTACCTATCCTAATAGACACCAAAATGCTAAATAAATGGCAAAAGAATTTAACTGATTTTTTCTGGGATTACAAAAAACCCAGGATAAAATTTAGCACACTGAGGAAAACTGCTAAAAAGGGAGGTTTAGACTTCCCAGATCTATCCTTATACTATCATGCTGCAATTCTCTCAAATGTTACCAGAATATTACGATCTCCAGCCACACTCCACTGGCAACAAATTCAAGAAGTGGATAGTAAAACTGTCTCACTACCTGAACTATACTGGAATGATGCTAAATATAGGAAAAACGTGCTATTGCAAAATGATTTTTTAAAAACATCCCTGTTAATTTGGGATATGTATAGACCTAAAATTTTACCTGAGATCTCGCGCTTTTCTGAATACACAGGTCAGCAATGGTTTCAGCCGGGAACGGAGCAGTCTCTGTTCACCAAATGGAAAATGGTGGGTGTTCGGTGTCTAAATGATTTTATTCATAAAGGAAAGATACTCAGTAAAGCGGAACTTGATACAAAACTTGGAGAACAAATCCCATGGTTCAGGTATTTACAATTAAACAATATGCTGCAAAACTTCTTAACTAAACAGGTATTCACATCCCCCTTAATGGAATATGAAAAGGTTCTAAAAACTCAGGATGGTGGATCAAAAGGCTTAATTTCTAGAATATATAAACTGTTATGTTCAACCAAGGAAGCAGGCTGGTTTAAAAGTCAAAAGCAATGGCAGCTAGACTGCGTACAGATATTATCTGAAGGTACCTGGCAATCAATATGGACACTGCCAAACAATACTTCTCCAATATTCAGTGTTAGATTCAATACCTTTAAAACCTTACACAGATGGTACTTAACACCAACAAGACTTCATAAGTTGAACCCAGTTATTCCCGCGATGTGTTGGAAACAATGTGGACACCCGGGAAACTTCTCGCACTGTTGGTGGCATTGTCCATTAATTCAAGACTTTTGGAAACAAATTTTAATGCAAATAGAAAAAATTACCACAATCCATTTACCAGCCACTATAGAATCGGTTGTACTAGAACTAGGATTAATAGATCTTAAACCTAAAAGTACACAGATGCAGATATCAATAATGATTGCAATGGCCAGAATCTCAATCGCACAGTTCTGGAAGGCTAAAGAGGCTCCGTCATTATACTGTTGGCAGAACAAATTGTGGGAAGGTTTTGTGCATAGCCGTATCTCTAAATATATTCATGGAGAAAATATAGAAACTAGACAGAAAATGTTTCAAGCAACCTGGTTTCCAATAATAACATATTTAACGAATAGTGACATTGTACCTAAAAATCCACATTATGCAAACTTATTGTATTTCTGAGTCTAATGTTTACTAATTTATATGAACACAGTTGATAGATGCTTTTTTCTCGATGTTTAAATCAATTACTATTACAGTTATAAGTGCTTCACGATATGCTGTATTACTTGTTTGTTTGTTCTCTATTTTGTTACTTAAAATAAAAATTATAAATTAAAAAAAAAGAACACTTCATTTACATATAGGATTGTTGAGTGGATTCTAGTACTGCTATTAGCAGTTGATATTTGAACATAGTTAAAGGGCCTAACAACTTTCCAGTTTTCCCTCCTTAAACACTTTTAAATAGTGTCATTGGAGGCAGGAGTGGGATGTACCTGGGCAGATATGCAGCTAGCATTTGGGGCTCTGGTGCCCACTACACTACTGTGTGTACTCATCCATGAATTTTAAAGGTATTTAAAGTAAATGATGTTTCAAGAAGAATACAGATTAAAATGAATACATGTGGTGCCAATAGGGTGAGAGGTAGCACTCCATTTTGCATCTGAGCAGTATGGAGATGAGGCAGGCTGTCAGACATCTGCCTTGATTGAAAGAATAATGTACCTCACCATTTCCCCCCAATAGGATGAATAAATTGATGGACTTTAAATGGATCCATTTTAAATTATAAGAGTGCATAAATTTGGGTAATTTTGACATTGTTGTTTGCATGTAACTGCAACCACTAGACAGAAAACCTTTCAAATATAGTCGTGTCTCACTCAATCAGGATCAAGCTACAATCTGCTTGTTAAAAGATGCAATTGAATGATCTGATAGAGCCATCAAAACCAAAAGCCATCCAACCTTGAACTAGAGGCTCACTTCAGCTTTTAAACTGTTTTATAAGGATCAATGAACCTTTGCTAATAACATGCCTAAGTAAAGTTTTGCTGTGATTCCAGGTAAGAAGAAAGTATTCAATGTGTTAATTTGATTTTAGATGACGACACAGAGGAGGCTATAGAATACATTGTCATTGATCAGTTCCAAAGGAAATTTGGTTCTGCTGTGAGTATGCTTTTATTCTATTTGGTTGTTTTCCCCCTCAGTCTTTTGCCATTGTCCATAGTGGATACAAGATCTATGAGAAATTATATTATAGTACACATTCTAAATCATTGCCAGCAGTCCTAGTCAGAAGAACATCTGTAGGACTTAAACTGAGATAACAACATGCAAGAGTGTAATGATTGATTCCAGCTCACACTGGCTAAATTCTCTGAATTGCACTCCGGGGAGAGTCCATGAAGCTCTAACTTCAGTTATAACCTGCCTTTCTCCCCAAAGCAGGTTACATTCTCCTATCCTTTATTTTATCGTTGCAACAGCCCTGTGAGGTAACTTAGACTAAGAGTGTGTGACTGGCCCAAGTCACCCAGCAAACTTTCATGGCTAAGTGGGGATTTAAACGTGGGTCTCCTGGATCCTACACTGACACTCAAATCATTACAGCACTCCAGCTCCTTCAATACCAAGGTTTGCTCCAATCCCCCTTTTGGGAAAGCTGCCACAGTTAAACAGGAGGGGTGATAAAAATAAGTTTTTAAAAGATTAAATTGGATTTTATTTTTTTTAACATTTTAGCTATAACAGGTCTTCTCTTAAAGTAATCTGGTTTAAAATGAAATCTGAATACAATTAACCTCCTAAAACTGGATTTATTACTCTCTTAGGAATTCATGATACCTTCAATGTGGTTTTCTTTGTAAAGAAAGAATATGGGGAAAATAGTCATCAGTTACCGTATTGCGCAATAATCTATGTACTTTATGGTTAGATATTGGGGGGGGGGGGGCCAAAACGGCACATTACCCAGGAGGCATTCTGGTTTGTATGTGGGGGGGGGGGGGGCTAAGACAGCACATTACCACAGGAGTCATTCAGTGATCCATCTAGATGACTTCTTTCTCTTGTTTTCTGTCTAGTTATTACCTGATCTCTGCAATGGATTCAGTGTTCTAACTATAAATATCAAACAAAGAACGCAGATATTTACCTTCCATCCCATGGAGAACACTGATCTGCGAGGCAATAGCTACCAGCTCTTGCTTATGATAGAGATTATTTACTGTTTCTGGGTGGGGCAGAGTGGTTACATAGTGTGACGACCTCTTATTTGGGGAGGTCTAGTTTTACTTTAAAATGTTCTTTCAGTTTTACTCTGTAGGGTATTCTGGCTGCCACCAGGGAAATTTAGGCTTTCCCAACCTTTTTCTATAATATTTTTCACAGGGTAGGTATACCGAGGGTTTTAGGCGTTCGTGGTACTATGTGGTCTGAGGAAGGATTCTTTACTGCTGGTATACTTGAAGGAAATAGGATTTATTTAAAGAAAGCATCAACACGAGGGCAAACAATGTAAACAAAAGTGGGAATGATTTGAACCATGGCTTGGTGTCTCTCACAAGCCTCTCTCCACTGACAGGGATATTTCATAGGCAACTTTGTAACACTTTTCACTGTACTTTTTCCTAGACTCTCAGCTTGTAATTTTTTCCTATAACACAGACTTAAATGTCACTCTTTTCACACACAGGGCTGAGTCTCCTTCAACTCAGAGACAGAACTTAACTGACTTCTGCTTCTCTCACAGAAATCTCAGGACCAACTCATATCAACTGCTTTTACACAGCACTCTCTGCTGACTGACTAACTGTTTAACTGTTAAACCTTAACTGTCATTTCTCCAACAGTCACTCCTGATAGACATTCAAATCATCCACACAGCATCCATTCCAAAACCCCTCCCCCTCTCTGTCACTCACCAATCATACCATTTGCCTGCTTCCAGCACCCTAGTCTGTCATACATCCATACAAACCAAACTTTTAAAGACACACACACAAATAAACATGAAATCGCCACACATAGTAACAGGGAAGAGCAAAGTAGAAATGAACACTGGAAAGAAGTGGCACCTTCTTGTTTTGATTCCACTATACAGAAAAGCCTTTTATGGCTGCAGATTGTGAAAGACATCCTATGTAGAATAATGTATATTGCATTATTTAAAAATAAGCCTCCACAGTGGCTTCTAATACTCCTCCCCACTTCCCCTCCTACACTGGACAGGCAGCTGCCTGTCAGGTGTAGGAGAGGAGGTGAGATGGCTTCCAACACACTCCCCCCACCTCCTACACCTAACAGGTGGTTGTCTGTCAGGTGCAGCAGCAGGGTGCTTAAAGCCACAAGGGAGTCCGCCCCAGCAGTAATGCCTTAGTGATCCTGCTGGCCCCGCTTCCACAGTGGCTTCTAATACTCCTCCACCCTCCCCCTCCTACACTGGACAGGCAGCTGCCTGTCAGGTGTAGGAGAGGAGGTGGTATGCTTACAGCAGTCAGGGAGGTTTGCTCAGCAGGATTGCTTTAGAACTGCTGCTGGCCCAGCCTCTCCGATGTCTGTCAGGTGTAGGAGCAGGGCCAGGGTATAAACATTTATGGGGAGATAGTAAAGGACATTTCTAGGAGGCATTTCGATGCGTGCCTCCCTCATGAACCTGAAGAAATGTCCACCACATCACCACTCCCTCACACCGACTCCCCCTCACACCTCTCACTGCCCCCAAGAAAGCTCCTGGCAAACATCGCGCCAGATACACCAACGCTACAAGGAGGAGGCAACTTAGGAATGCGGGAAAGACATTTGCACATAGTACTCCTGCAGTGCACTGAGCTGCGCAGGCCAAGTACCAGCAAGATCACCTTGAGGTGCTCAGAACAACACAGTCTCCATATGAGCAAAACAATCCAGGAACACAAGTAGAGAGGCCATCACTTTTGTGGAAGGTAGCAGGAGTTGACTTAACAGACGACTGCTTCTTAAATGGACAGTTCTATGTGGCCTGCTCCAGAGTGAGCTCATCAAGCAGCCTGGTGATCCTGGCACCTGAGGGCAGAACCACCAATGTGGTCTAGAGAGAGGTCCTTCAGTAGAGAAAAAAAAAGTACGTATATCTCGCTTCATTTCTTACACTACAATCTTCTCCATTAGAATTCCTACAACAAATGTCACATTTCAAATTTTACATCATCAGTATTATAACTGGATTTACGGAACTTAAATACCATGGTGAAGCATGGGTATCAGGCTAGTCTGTAATATGGGAAAACAGCTGATGACCTCCATCTGAGGGTAGACAAAGGCCAAGCCTCCCGTTGTTCTTATTGGATTTATCTGTAGCCTTTGATACAGAAGATCATGCCATCTTGTTGAGGCACCTGGAGGCAGAACTAGGTATCAGAGGATGTGCATTGAACTGGTTCAAATCATTCTTCATGGATTGGACTCAAAGGGTTGCTACTGGAAACCAGTTCTCATTAGTGTGGGATCTGTTTTGCTGGGTTCCTCAGGGTGCAGTTCTATCCCCCATGCTTTTCAGCCTCTGTGTGAAGCCCTTAGGACAAATCATTTGTAGTTTTGGAGTTCGTTGACGTCAATACACAGCTGCACAAAAGGCTTTCTCTCAACTCAGCCTGTAAGATGGCCCCTTATCTTGATATGGCTGACCTGGCCACCTGAATCGGAGCCACAGTAACATTGAGACAAGACTACTGTAATGCACTGTACATTGGTCTCCCCTCCAAATCAACTTGGAAACTCCAACTGCTCCAGAATGCCGTGAGTTGACTGTGATTGGGAGCTAGATGGAACGTGCATATTACTCCTGTTCTGCAGATGCTCCCATCTGTTACCAGGATCGGTTTAAGGTATTGGCTGTCACATACAAAGGCCTTCATGGCCTTGGCCCCTTTTATTTGTGGAACTGCCTATGCTCCTCCACAATACCTTTGCTCATGTCAGCAGGGACTACTGCAAGTGTCAACATGCAAATGAGCAAAATCAACAACTGCTTCTACACGTGCTTTCTCCATTTGGCTCCCAGTTTGTGGAATGGCCAGCCCAAGGAGGTCAGGAAATCTCCCAGCCTCCTGGCTTTCTTCAAACTATGCAAAACTGAATTATTCAAGAGGGCTTTTCTGTGCAAGTAATAGGGTTGCACTGTAGAAAAAGGTTCACAAACATACTTGGGTTGAGACTGTGTTCTGTACTGCTGTGTATAGTTTACTGTGGGTAGGATCCTATTATGTAATTTCTGTACCACTTAAGGTGTCATGTTAATACTTATGCTATGCTTCGGTTCTTTCTGGTGATTTCAGACCTCTAAAATACTAATGCATTGGTTAGTGAATGTCCTGCTTTGTTGACTGTGCTGACTACTATGTGTAATCTGCCTTGAGTCCCTCCCCCCTCCCTTGTTCTAACTAGATGATGCACATCAAAAAGCAAAATGTTTGTGCTATAGCAGCAGAGGGTGTCAATCTGTGTCGTCATGGAAAACTCTCTTGGCTGCAGGTAAGAAGACAGTTTAACAACACATACATTGCAGTTCATATCAAAGCATTTGGTTATTAGTTTCAGTCTGTGGTTTCCCTCATAACCTGTATATATAAATATTTTAGATGTGCCATATCTTCGCTTATCGATATAATACCCCTCCATCCAATTGCTCTCTTCATTATTGCTGTGTCCTGTAACATATGTTGATTTTAGGTAGTTGTGTTAGTTCATTAAAAAAAAGTAGTATGTAATTTAGGAGAACCCGGTTTGGTTCCCCACTCCTCCACTTGCACCTGCTGGATGACCTTGGGCAAGCCATAGTTTTGGCACAGCTGTTCTTGAAAAAGAGCAATTTTTGCCAGAGCTCTCTCAGCCCCACCTACCTCACAGGGTGTCTATTGTGGGGAGGGGAAGGGAAAGGAGTTTGTAAGCTGCTTTGAGACACCTTTGGGTAGTGAAGGGTAGGGTATAAATCTAATCTCTTCTTCTTCATCATCATCTTCTTCTTGTTGCCTCCGAGATCTGCTCCTTTTCAGAAGCCATAATCCCTGCAGTATCCTTCATCCAAAGGTACAGGGAGACTCCATCTTGTAATAGAACAGTGAATCAAATGCATCTCATGATGAGATAACCAGGTTCCCATAGAAAAGATGTGACACAGTCCCCTGGAGGACTCATTCTGTGGTTTGATAGGATCCCCCCCACACCTAGGCCAACATGAATGACTGGTGTTTGCAGGACAATAGCTTGATTTTCCATTGTACTCAGGAATATCCATCACAACCGGAAACGTAATCAAGCCATTAATCAGTAGGATAACCTCACCTTCTGCACTATTAGCACTCCCGTCCCATACTTTGTTTCCCACTAGCAGAAATGGTGCTGGGTTTTAGTATAAAAATGACTCCTTCATCCCCAACATAAAGCTACACTTCAGGTCTTGTTCTGCTTCCCACCCTCTACTTTGCCTCCATATCCTGTTTTTCCTCACTCCAGAACTCCATTTCCTGTTTTCAAGCCAGCAGGTTCTGTCACCTTCCAGCATCTTCCCAGCACCGTGCCCTCCTTCCTTCCTTTCTGCTCTCTAGCTGGTCGACAATCCCTCTCCCCTGTAATATTTCGCTCTTATAGTATGACAGAACTTAATGATTATTCAAAGGGTTGATCAAGCAGAATCACTGACTTGATGCCCTGACCTGGATAGCCCAGGCTAACCCGATCTTGTCAGATCTCAGAAGCTAAGCAGTGTTGGTCCTGGCTACTATTTGGAACGGCAACCTCCAATGAATACCAGGGGTGTGATGCAGAGGCAGGCAATGGTAAACCACCTCTGAAATGTCTCTTGCCTTAAACACAACTCTAGCTCACCACCTAATGGTGAATAATGCTAAAAGAGCAAGTACTTCTGGTTGCCAGGAAATCTTAGGATCGCTTGGCTATACTACATACACTGCCATACAATGATAATAATAATAACCGACTTGATATCAGCTGGATGGACTGATATTCATAGAAATCCTTTGAGTCAACAACATATGAATCAATATTCCTGAAAGCAATTTGCCACTAAATCTCTTTATATAGACCCTTTGTACTGAGTGCAGAGATTGAAAAATGCAGGTCCCTCAAGAGCATTCACTTCCCTACTGTTAATTTCAGTGGCAATCAAAAAATGTCAAGGAGACTCAACAAAATTCCAAATAGTACAGGGATATTCAGACAGCTAAACGAAAATCAAATTAATCATTTTGCCTTCTTCACTTTTATCCAGAAATGAAGGGAAAAACCAAATGATTTACATTATCATCATCATCATCTTGTAAGAGATCTGAATTTTGTTCCCATTCAATACATGACCAGGGGCCTGGAGACCAAGCCCTATGAGGAAATGCTGAGGGACTTGGGAATGCTTAGTGTAATGTATCCAGTCCCGACCACGTGGCAGACGGGCTCCACTCGGTCAGGCGAAACCTTCGAGCTTCGATCATGAGAACAATGGACTGTGCGGATCCTAGCCCGCACCAATCAGAGGCCTAGGCTTCCGGACGAGAGCCTGTGGAACTCTCAGCCACTGTAAATAGCCTATTGCGGTGTGGGGGTGTGTTTTGGGTGGTGGTTTCACTGGGAATATAAGCCGGTCTGCGAGCCGGCTAAAGTTGTCTTGTTCCTCACTAATAAAAGTATGAGAGCTGTAATCACTCGTCATTCTCAATACTTTTAACTGGCAATGAGGATGGGATTCATCCTCCCCTGAATAGAGACCACGGATCGAGCATCGCATCGAGTCTCTGCACCGAGATCACTGCACGCCGCTTCGCCTCATGCTGCATCTCCGGTTGCTGCTCATCGCACCGCTCCCAGCCCCGAGCATCGCACCACTGACCCTGAGAGCAGCACCACACCGCTCCTCACCACTGATCGCTGCCACCGCTCCCAAGCATCTCCTCCACGTGGAATTGTAAGATGACTGCCGCATCCGAGAGTCTCCCTGCTTTCGACATCTCCCAACTATTGCAATGGGAAACCTGGCTGGAGACCCTCGAGAGCCACTTCACCATCCACAGTGTCACCGATCCGGGTAAGAAGAAGGCGTACCTTCTCCGGCACTGTGATATGGAGCCCCATCGTCTACTGAAGGACCTGATAGTGCCCTGGCTGACCAAAGATGAGTCATACACCACTTTGGTCCAGGCATTTTTGGACCACCTGGCTCCCAAACCAACGAAATTTGTGGAGCGGATGGACTTTTGCAGGGCCCCGACGAGACCGCCTCTGATTTTTTTCACGGCTCTGCGATGACCCCCCCCTACAAAAGCTATGGGGTTTCACCTTGTGAGACTTTAATAAAAAAACCCGTGGCGGTACTGGGCTGAGGCAAGTTCTGGCTTCAGTTAAAAGACTTTAACGGCCTACTGGACCTGCTGGTGGTGGACGGGTGGCTCTCAAGCCTTCTGGGACTCTCTTAGTTTGGGCCCCTGGGGTTGTCGCTCACAGGGGTTAACCAGGTCCAGTTACAAGGGTTTGAGTCCGTGTGTGCAGAGTTTCCCTGAGTGTTTGATGGCACACTAGGGCGGTATTCCGGGGCCCCCATCTCGCTAGACCTAGACCCCGCGGTCCGCCCAATCCGGATTAAGGCCAGGCTACCTCCGATTGCAATGAAGCGTAAGATGGAGGCCGAGCTCGACCGCCTGGTGGAACAGGGGGTGCTGGAACCAGTAGCGTCCGCCTGGTGGGAGACCCCTATAGTCACCCCAGTAAAGCTGAACGGTGACGTGCGCATTTATGCGGATTACAAATGCACATTAAACAAGGTCTTGCAGGCCCATGCTTATCCGGTACCGGTGGTTAGCCATGTGTTGGCCGCTCTGGCGGGGACCTGGGTCTTCAGCAAGTTGGACTTAGCTCAGGCGTATCAGCAGTTACCGGTTGATGCTGCCACTCCCGAGGCCCAAACGATTACCACTCATAAGGGTGCTTTTAAGGTACACCGACTTCAGTTCGGGGTATCGGTCACGCCAGGGATCTTTCAGTCTGTCATGGATTCCCTTCTCAAAGGTATCCCCGGAGTACAGCCGTTTTTAGACGACGTGCTCATAGCGGCTCCAGACTCGATGTCCTTCATAGACCGGCTCTGGGCGGTGCTCCAGAGGTTCGATGCGTCCGGGCTCAAGGTCAAGAAAGAAAAATGTCTCTTTTGGGGGTCCCTCACGTGGAGTTTCTGGGCTTCGTGGTCGACACCAGCGGCATCCACCCCACCGAGGAAAAGGTGAAGGCCATCACTCAACCCCCCCCTCCCAGATCCAAGTCAGAACTGCAGGCCTTCTTGGGACTCCTGAACTTTTACCATTCCTTCCTGCCCCTCAAGGCCGCAGTTGCGGAACCGCTCCACCGCCTCTTGGACAAGTCCGCGCCCTGGGTCTGGGGTCCGCCGCAAGTTGCTGCGTTCCAGGCAGTTAAGGACCTTCTTGTTTCTAATTCTGTCCTTACTTTAATGAAGCGCTCCTGGTGGTCCTCACTTGTGATGCTTCGCCTTATGGGGTCAGGGTGGTCCTGGGCCATTGGCTGCTGGACGGCCGCGAGGTCCCGGTTGCATATTATTCTCGGACACTGTCTGCGGTGGAGCGCAACTACGCACAGATTGATAAAGAAGCACTGACAATTGTGGCAGGGGTGAAAAAGTTTCACCATTATTTGTACGGCAGGCCCTTCACAGTTCTTACGTACCACAAGCTGCTGCTCAGCCTCCTGCCCCTGGACCACCAGACCCCTCACATAATCTCCCCCGGGTGCTCCAGCGGTCGATTTTCTTGGTGGGGTACTCCTACACCCTCACACACCACCCGGGGAAAGCGATGGGCCACGCGGACGCTCTGAGCCGCCTCCTGCTACCTGCATGTGACCCGGATCCAGCCCCGGCTCATATGATCGCACTCCTATAGTCCCTTCCGGACCAGCCGGTCCACGTCAAAGAGGTGGCTCGCTGCACGGCCAAGGACAAGGTACTCTGCCGTGTTTTGGACTTGGTGGTGAGGGGGTGGCCCTTGGCCAAAGGGGAGGCAGAATTCATGGCATTCGCATCCCAGAGAGACGAACTGTCAGTTCACAAAGGCTACGTGATGTGGGGAAGCCGGGTGGTCATCCCTACGCCACTATGGGAACGGGTCCTCACTGCCCTTCACACGGCACATCCCGGGGTGGTGCGCATTAAAGCCCTGGCCAGAAGTTACGTCTGGCGGCCGGGGCTGGACTGGGACGTAGAAAACATAGTAAAGCGGTACCTGCTTTGCTAAGCTTCCCCACCGGAGCCACCCCGGGCCCCGGAATGAGCCTGGGAATTCTCCCAACGCCCCTGGTCAAGGTTGCACTTGGACTTTGTGGGACCATTCCAGGGGCAACTCTTCTTCTTCCTGGTGGATGCCTACAGCAAGTGGCTGGAGGTAGTCCCCATGAACTCCACCTCCTCCAAAGTGGCAATCCGGGCGATGTGGCAGTTCTTTAGTGCGCAGGGCATCCCC